ATTTCTTGAATATCTTGACCATTATTCCTTGTAGTATTGAGTAGTTCATTCAGTAGCTCATCATCACTGTTGTATTGACTGGTATCAGTATTACTGGTATCACTGCAGGTAGTACAGGCTGCAGTACAGGTACTGTTAGCAGCATCAAATGTAAGAGCAAGATTAGAACTACTGATAAACTGAGGGAGACAAGCAATAGCTAGTATAAGAAGAGAGAGCATTATTATCCTCTTTGTAATGATTGTTTACTGTTTACTCCTCACTCCTTTTATAATATTCAGAAGAGCCTGACTAATGACGTCAGTCATGATGCTGTATGCAATGGGAAACATTTAAAGAACGTACTCTAGTCTAGTAACTCATCAACCAAAAATGTGCAGGTGTTTTAGTAGTAGACTAGTACTAATAATCTGCATACCTTCTGTTCAAGTACAAGTAATTGAAATACCATTAAATTTCAATTATTATTTTCAAATCAACTCAAGAATAAACCTAACTATTAAAAACTAACTACCCACACACTATCTATCAATCATAAAAACTAACAGGAACATCTTGATTATCAGGAACGTAAAAAATTTAATAAGCTAACAACTAATTTCTTTTTTGGTTAGCTACAATTACATATCCTTAAAAACAAGGTGGTTTTTTATTTTGGCCATTGACATCTCTCATTTTATAAAGTGATGTCATTAGACATGACATCAGTTCTATATGTGCAGAAGTAGATTCTAAAAAAGAACATCAACTTGACACAATTATAACTATTGTTATTTAAATATATAGAATAGCTTGAGTAATGATAATGTAGATATGATGACAGTTAAATATTTAAGACTGTACCCTATATAGACTAGAGGCTCATCTATTGATGTGAGCAGCAACACCAACAAAAACATGACAGTAACAGAGTACATGTAACTAACAGTAACTATCCACACACACACACACACACGCACACACACGCACACACACACACACACATACACACACACTATCTATCAAACTGTTCATTAGTATATTCTCATCATTTGACGTACAACATCTTCATCAATAGTATGTTGATCTCCACACACCCTCAGCTCAAGGTAGTCAGTAGTGGTAGTGTTTAGTACCTTATTGAACCATCAAAGACCAGGACGAGACGCACAACAATTACCTTCAAGAATACCATACCCTTTACCATCCCACAATGGGCCAGATGTATAGAGTATGTATTGACCTGTACCACCAGGAGCAGGATTACCAGATTCACAGAAGTAGTCATTACCAATGAAAGACTAAAGAGTTGAGTTTTGAATACCATTTTGATAACAAGGACAATTGCAAATGCTACAGCATTTTAAAATACTGCAGCCATTAGTGTCCAGACATGTTGACGAGGAAACCCTTGAGTGATACTAACACCATCAACATAACAAGAATTAATATCATTATGACATTCAGTGCCACCAATAGTAGGATTCGCTGCATCAGTTGTAGCATACTGATATCCCACTACTCTACCACACACTTGAGAGTAACTGATACCATTAGATGGAAACTGAACTGATACACAACTGCCTCCACTTGATGCTGTTCTACCATAAGCTCTAACTCCTCCTGACTGGTACAGTCTAAACCCAGAAGGACAGTTCACTGTAGCATCTGTCATATTCAAATATGCTAGTCTTGTCCATTCTACTGAACCACAGTACATCTCCTCCATGCATATTACAGTAAATGTTCTTTGTTCCTTCTTTAGTTACAATGCTATATTCTTTGAAATACTTTCTGGCCAGTGCTTCTTCATTAGGCTTGCAGGAATATGATTGTTGAGCTAACGTAGCACTACTGGTTGAACTGATAATGAACACAATAGTACAGAGTAGCATCTGATGTGATATACTATTCCTTGATTCTATAAAGGATCTAGACTAATGACAACAGAATGATGTAATGCATGTTCATGAGTAATATATAGCAGTAGCCAAGAATATCAATTAGCACTATACATTTCAAATTATGCAGCTTCAAAGTTTCCTTCACATTATTTTTGCAAAGAAAGGTCTTTAGCATAATGTTGAAATTATAATTGAGATTATGAGCTGTTTTATTAACACACTGAAATAAGAATATTGAAACTTTTCAGACAATATAGACAGAATTACCCAGCTAACTGAAACGCCCTGACCTGTATTGCATTATGTATTACTTTCAAATTATTTTCGAAAAAATCAACTACTCAAAAATAGAAAAAAAAACTAACAACTCACTACAACTAGTCTACTGTTATACTAACTAACTACACACACACACACACTATCTATCAAACTGTTCATCAGTATATTCTCATCATTTGACGTACAAATCATAAAAACTAACAGGAACATCTTGATTATCTGTATTTTCATCTCCACACACCCTTAGCTCAAGGTAGTCAGTAGTAGTAGTGTTTAGTACCTTACTGAACCATGGAAGACTAGGACGAGATGTACAACAATTACCTTCAAAGCCACCACATCCTTTACCATCCCACAATGGATCAGATGTATAGAGTATGGATTGAAATGTACCATCAGTAGAAGGATTACCAGATTCACAGAAGTAGTCATTACCAACGAAAGACTGAAGAGTTGAGTTTTGAGGACTACTTTGAGAACAAGGACAATTGTAACGATAGTCATTAGTAAGCACAAAATCACTGGACTCAAGTAGTCCAGCAATTAATGTCCAGACATGTTGACGAGGAGACCCACGAGTGATACTAACACCATCAACATAATAAGAATTAATATCATTGTGGTGTGGTTCAATGACACTACCATATGCTCCACGAGCATAATTTCCTGGATAAACTGCATCAGGTGAAGCATACTGATATCCAACTACTCTACCACACACTCGAGAGTAACTGATACCATTAGATGGAAGCTGAACTGATACACAACTGCCTTCAGTTGATGTTGATCTACCACAAGCTCTAACTCCTCCTGACTGGTACAGTCTAAACCCAGAAGGACAGTTCACTGTAGCATCAGTCATATCCAGATATGCTAGTCTTGTCCATCCTCCTCCTGAACCACAAAGCTCCTCCATATTACAGTAAACACTTTGAGTTTGATTATTAGCAGTTTTCAATAGGTATACACCAGAAGGACTGTTTGGTTGTTTGTCTTTAATCTCTTTACAAGAAGTAGGGATAGGAGAGAAGGAAGATGAGTCATTGTGTAACATGATAAGGTCTTCTACTAGTAGCAGTATATCATTGATAGCTCCAGCATTAGAGGTAGCAGTCTCCTTGATATGAGAGAGAGAAGAAATGATACCATCCATTTTTTGTTTTATTTCTTGAATATCTTGACCATTATTCCTCGTAGTATTGAGTAGTTCATTCAATAGCTCATCATCAGTGTTGTATTGATTGGTATCAGTATTACTGGTATCACTGCAGGTAGAGCAGGCTGCAGTACAGGTACTGTTGGCAGCATCAAATGTAAGAGCAAGGTTAGAACTACTGATAAACTGAGGGAGACAAGCAATAGTTAGTATAAGAAGAGAGAGCATTATTATCCTCTTTGTAATGATTATTTACTGTTTACTCCTCACTCTTTTTATAATATTCAGAAGAGCCTGACTAATGACATCAGACATGATGCTGTATGCAATGGGAAAAATTTAAAGAGCGTACTCTAGTTCCGTTTTGCTAATTTAATGAAGAGTACGCATAATTTACTGGAATGTGTACATTGATATAGATGCTATAGTGGTATATTCCACTTCAGGAGTACTTGCATATATTTAGAAGAGCCTGACTAATGACGTCACTCACGTCAGCAGGTAATGTCAAACATTTAAAGAACGTACTCTAGTGTCGCTTGTCAACCAAAAATGTGTAGTAAGTAGTAACACTAACACCATCAATTTGCATACCTCCCACAAAGAACATATTGTAATATCATACATTAATTTACTCATCATTTGACATACAACCCATAACTAATGGCCAAGCATGCAGAGTCACTATGACTCCATGACCATTACTTAGCTAGCAAACAAGCTAAAATCTTTGCGTCCATTATACCATTGTTCGTGTATAGAAAAGGTATTACAAGTAAAGACAAGTTTATTAGCTTTAACTGGTAGTCACAAACATTTGTACTCATAAATATTACCCTTTCAAGGAAATTCAGTAGAAATATTGGACCCCCCAAAAATGACCAACTATATGTATATGGTACTGTTACTTCTGCATCCATGGGCATGCAAACCACCAAAATAGCAGAGGAAATTATACAGTCAAACCAGCTATTGCAGACACTCTAAATAGGACACTTAATTCTTTAATGAGGGCAGGTAGTATCAGTACCAATGCAATATGACTGTGTATTAATGAGCCCAGTATTATTGGGTCCCAACTCCCAATGTGTCTGGAATAGACAGGTTTGACTGTAGCTATCAAGTATACATGATACATCACTAGTTCATTCAGTACCACATTCAAATACATACACACATACATACACTCTGTTACCTTGAGCCTCTTTCAACAGGTCATTACATACAGGAACATGATCAGAGAAGTCAACAGGACTCATAGTATCACTGACCACATCTTCATTAAAAAGTCTTGCCCCATAAGACAATAATAGCTCAGTTGCATTGCGATTACCGTGTATCAGTGCTTGATGTAAAGGAGTAAAGAACTCCTTGTCTTGAGCATTAACCTCAGCACTGGCGTCAAGTAGTAACATCATTATCTCAAGGTGTCCTTGTGAAGTGGCATGATGTAAGGGGGTCTCTCCTATATTGTTCCTAGCATTTATATCCTCATTGGCTAGTATTAGCATCAATGCAGCACTATAGTCCCCGTGATAAGAGTGACTATGTAATGAACTGTCGCCTTCTTCTTTACTGGGAGAACGAAACGTTTTTGGTGGTAGAGACCTGGACGCCATTTTATAAAAAGGCGTGGTTTGTGGATTAATAATTCATCATTTTGTGTGGGCGTTGGATCTTAAAGTAAACAAGTAGAACCCCCCAAAGCATAGATAGGGTCAAAGTAAAGTGATCATCTATCATGGCTTATGCAACTGAAGATAGGCTAAGCAACTCCATAAAGTTTGGGCCTCTCACTTTGCGGCATAAAACAAAAATGTTTCGAGATCCAAAAGGGAAGGTTTACTACTTTAACATCACTGCTGATGGTAAACTCCAATGCTTTGAAGATGAGGAGGTAAAATGATTTTATTTATACTTGACAATGATACGTGTCTCTATGCAGCACACAAAATTAAAAGAACAGCGAAAAAAAGAGGATATCAGTGGTGTTCAACTCCTAGAAAAACATAAAGATTTATGCACTCAATTCATAGTGCAATTCAATGAGCGGAAAGAATTTTGGCTATTGGAGTCTTCAAGTGAAGTGAGCCCAAATTTACTGTCATGTATATGATAAATAATTTTTTTTGTCAGAAAGAGAGAGCAGAATGGGTACAAGCTTTTACATCTATTTCCCAGCCACTACAATATCCTTATCAGCTGCACTACATTTCCAAACCTGTGCGTTCTGAACATCTGCACCAGGAGATGACAGCTAATGCTCAATTTACCAACTGTCCTTACCCTATTGTTGAAAATCCTTTATTACCACCAGTGCCAGTTTGTGGAAGGCTTGATGATGCAGTGTCGTATCATGATGCCAAACATAGCGAACCCAGTTTCCTGCAGCCAGAGCTGATTGAATCATTAGATTCACATTATAGCACAATACATGAATTACCAGGTGACAAAAAGCAACATTTAGTAAAATGTAACTGCATAATCATATGTAGATAATTCAGCCTTAAAAGTTAATGTGGAGCTATCTGATTCAAAGTAATGATGATGCATGCAATTAATGTATAATCTACACAGTACATGCTTTTTTACATGTATAGGCCAAGCTTGGAAATGAAAGGGACCAAAAGTTAGTTTTTAAGCTGAATAACTTCTCAATTGATTTATCTTCTGTAGAAAGCTTTGGAAGCATCAAAGGAGCTCTTAAGGTGAGATAAATGATTCACTTAATATAATTTGTTATTTGTTTCAGAAACGTATGTCTATGTCTAAACTTTCAGAAACACCATTTCATTCAGCATCAATAAAGGTATTATTCATTGATATTGTATTACTATATTTCTCAAATTTCAGACCATCCAAGTCTTATTGAATAACACATCAATAGATCCGAATGCAAAGGATGACAATGGTTACACTGCTCTTCACTGGTATGTCATAAAGCCTCGTAAGCATAGACATGAGCTGCTGATGCGATGTTTAGAGAGTGGACGCCACTTTAATATTGATGCAAAAGAAAATTTTGACAATACTGCACTACACATAGCAGCTGAAGTAAGCCTTAATTATAACAATAACAATTAACAAACCAATCACTCACAGAGAAATGACCTTGAATATGCAAGAATTCTTGTTGCATTTGGGGCGCAAATGTATCTGAAGAACAGCCAAGAAAAGTTCCCCTACATGTTAGCTCCAGCTGAATCTGAAACATTCATGTTTCTGTCTTCCTTTTCATGCCCTACGATTGATGAAAAAATCTATTTGAAACCACCAGTACATGAAATGAAAAAGCTAAGTGAAGCAATGCTTAGGGAAATGAAAATAGGAGACATGATGCAACCTCACTTAATGTCCACCCTAGTACACTTGATTGATGATGAGATAATGAACATGGAGAGAGCACCTTATGTTAAAAACAGTGGTCATCAAGCATCGGGCCAGGCTTCAGAGTACTATGCATTTAAAAAGCAAAGAGAATATTTAAACACTTGGAGAGAAACTGGAGGGAATAGGATATTATTTTTAGATGGGGGAGGTATAAGAGGCATGGTGCAGATTGAAGTGCTCATGGAGTTAGAGAGACGAACTGGCTGTAAGGTTGTAGAGCTTTTTGACTGGATCGTGGGAACTAGTACTGGAGGACTACTGGCATTAGGCCTAGTATATGGTATGACAAATTAAAAAAAAATGATTTACTGAATCCCTTCCTAGCTAAGAAATCCCTTTCAGAAATGAAGCAGATATATTTTCAAATTAAAAATAAAGTTTTTGTGACTGGTTCAAATATTGCTAACACTTACATGAGCATGAATTCAAACTCACAAAATATGGAGGACATACTGAAGAATGAATTAGGAGATACTCTAATGAGCAGTATTCAAAAGCCAAGGTATATATATATAATGCATTTGTAATTTTACCTGGGTATAGGGTTATGATCTGTACTGTGAATAAGGAATTTGTCCCCTTGAAGGTCCAATTCTTTAATAATTTCATGACTGAGCATGAAGACCTCACAAATGGTAAGCAAACGCTTTTACAATTTACAAATAATAATGTGGCCATGTATAGTACCAGTTTGGTATGCCGCCAGAGCTACCAGTGCAGCTCCAATATACTTCACACCTTTACAAAACAAGTACATTGATGGCGGAGTTAAGGCAAATAATCCATGCCTGGAAGCAATGAGAGTGATCAAAGAATATGATCAGTTCATGGGTCTATCAGAGAGGCATTTCTTATTAACGGTCTCTATGGGTACAGGAATGTATGCAGACAAAGCAGTGGGAGGAGATGACTTAGAAAAAGGTCTACCACTAATTAAGCATGTGAAGCATCTAAAACAGCTGGTCAATTTGTTTATTCAAGAAGTTTGTTATAAGTTCTTATGCATATAACTTTATTCCTAAATTTAGTTAGGAAATGCAGAGTCAAATGCACAAACATTTTCCATTATGTGCCAAACTGCAAGAACACCCATTCCTTGTTTTCGATTTAATCCCTTACTTGAAGAGGAGGTCTCATCAAGTGAGATCAATGACAAAAAAATTGTTGAAATGATTTTGAAGACAAAAATTTACTTGGAAAAAGAGGTAGACTATGATTTATTGGTTTTCATTGCTTTGCAAATATTAGGAAACAAAAGAAAAACTAGATGATCTTGTGTGCATTTTCAGACAGATAGCAAGTCAAAGTTTATGAGTTGAACTGAAATGCAAATTTACCCACTACTCAGTTTACTTGTTATGGCTGCATTTTTGTAAAACAATGATTATAATGACAGATTTGGGTGGTGGTGGGCGAGTTCCTTGGAAACTAGATCTTGTGTGATGAATATTAATAAAATGAAACACGATATATATATATATATATATTGATACTAGATCTATACTATGATTATAATGTACCCCCCATAAGACGATTATTCTCAGAAGCATCAATAATATCAATAACATGGAACTGGCAAACAGCAACAACACTTAAGCAATATTCATCATCAAGTCGCGTTCGCCGTAATTAAAATTATTATTGGACCACCGCGGATTGCAGTCGCTGGAAAATAGAATCGAAGATGTCTGGCCATATCCCTGGATTAGTCAAACATGGGCCTTTGGAGATGATGATTCGGAATAAATTTAGCTCTAAATGGAAAACCCATTACTTTAAAGTCACGCTCGATGGAAATATATTGTGCTATGAAGATGAGCAAGTAAGACAGAACTCGGGCAATAATCACTTTACCTGTATGTGGATATGTGTACTATATATCATGCTAAACAGGTCTATATATAAAAATATAGACCTGAGGTGGGTGTCCAAGGATGTGATATAGCCCGAGGGCCGCAGGCCCGAGGGCTATATCACATCCGAGGACACCCACCAAAGGTCTATATCTTTTGTATATTGACCAGTTCTAGTATGTTATATAAGATATATTTCATAATGATGACAGCATTTCTGAATGGCAGGTATATATACAAAAATATAAACCCAACCACATCAAAGGATGATGTCATAATTATGAGAGATATATATATATCATCTAGATGACATCATTAAAAGAAGAAATGAAGAAAAGTGACATTAAAAAAGTGCAGATGTTTGACCGGAAGGATTCTTCCAATCAATTTGAAGTGTCATTTTATGACAAAAGAGAAACCTGGAGATTAAAAGCATCTGGAGAAGTATAATAATATAAAGTAGCTATTACAAATCATAATTCATGCACTTTCTAGAGAGAAAAAACAGACTGGGTTAATGCCTTCACTAATAATTATCAGCCAGTCCAGCATGATCAAAATTATCAACACCTACCATACCACGAGCACTATTATCATACACAGGCACAAAATCCTCGCCCATTTCTTGGTCAACATATGCAAATGGGATGGCAAAATTACTATCCACCTCAACAGCTGCAATTACCCCCTTCCTCTCGTGTACCTCCACCATATCCAACCTCAGCAAGCATTCGAGAGGGAAAGGTTCTCAATATGCCTCAACCAATACATCCTCAACCTCAACAGATTAGCCCTCAGCCAGGATTGCAAGCTTCAAGGTTTTTCAATTATCCACTACCACAGCCTCCTCCTGCTCCAGTACCAGCTGCAGCACTAGCTAGGCCAACTGGTATAACTACCACAGGTGCATCACTTTTTCTTTTCTTATATTTATATTACACACATACATGATTAGAGCTTATTGCTAATATTAAGTATTTCTCAGATTATACATAACTTTATCTCTAGCAGATGATGAAGAGTATATTGTGATGAGAAATTCACCTGTGCAGCATCAATATGATTACATGAATCCTGGCACTGATGTACAGCCATCACAGCAGCAGCCAAATGTTCAAAATGTTCCACAGCAAAATGACCATCGTGTGTTCAGGTCGTCATCTGTCATCAGTGATACTGGCTCAGAGATGTCCAATTCAGATATAAAAGAGCAAATGTATGTTCAAATTTAAAAGTCTCAGTTTTTGATTGTTTTGAATTAGGCCAAGTAATCAAAAGAATGTGGCGCCTGTTAATATAGGTTAACTAAATTTATTTTTATCTGTTTTTAAATCATTTTTAGATATGAGCCACGAAATCTTGATTCATTTATTATCAAATGCAGAAAAAGTAGGAAAAGGTTAGTTATATTTATAACACATATATGATTTAATACAATTCTAGGTAATTTTGGAGAAGTGTACAAAGCTGATTATAAACTGAGAGAGGATGCTCCTCCAATTAAAGTTGCTGTTAAGAAGTTAAATGGAGCAAAAGAGTCAACGAAGGAAGACATGATGAAAGAGTTTGCTGTCATGGCGTCAATGGTGCATCCAAACATTGTAAGAGTCTATGGAGTCATAATGAACATGCCAGCTAATCCAAAGATTGTTCTGGAATACCTGCCTCATGGAGATCTTAAGTCATACCTTAAAGTATAATTATATGCAATAGTGTACAATGTACTTTCATCATTTCTTTTTAGAATTCTTCAAAAAAACCAGTGGATACATTGGTCAAGTATATGATTGATGTTTCTATGGGAATGCACTATATTGCACAGAAAGGACTCATCCATAGGGTAAAGTTATGCATAAACTTTTATAATGCTTATCATTTTACTTGCAGGATTTAGCAGCTCGTAATGTCTTAGTTGGAGAAGGAGAAATATGTAAAGTATCAGACTTTGGCTTGATAAGAGAATTGCCAGCAAACATGTCCTCCTATCATAGCTCTACTCCAGTGCCTCTTCCAATTAGATGGATGTCTCCAGAGGCATTGTCGAATAAATGTTTCTCAGAAGCATCTGATGTATGGTCATATGGTGTACTGCAGTGGGAAATGTTTAATCCTAATGAACTCCCATATGATTCCCTCGACAATTTTCAGGTATTTATGAAAATCCTATCAATTTTGCTACTTATTCATTCTTTTATTAGGTTGTACTAAAAATAAAGGAAGGATACCAACTTACAATACCTAATGAATGTCCACAAACAGTAGCTAACATTATGAAAGCATGCTGGCAAACCGAACCACAATTAAGACCAAATTTTCACCAGATTACGACTATTCTTACAACAAAGATTTAACTAAAACTTCCTACTCTCTGCTACTTTGATACGATATATTTAGCATTTTAGATCACTTGTATTATAGTTGTATATATTGTATAGATTTTTCAGTATTTAGCTTTAATTTGTAAGGTGTTTTTCAAAAATATTGTTTGGCTGTGCCAGGAGAGATGGGGGCAATGTAATGTATGAGTGAGATCATAGGTATTTTTGTGTATTAATTGTGCACAAACAATGAGTTTCAAATTTTTTCACTGCATGGAATTGAAAAAAATTGGTATTATTATTTATGGTTCATAGCTATGATATAAATATTTGTGATGATTAAATTTTGTCCTCGGAGTTGTGCTGGCCAGCGCCGCGCCGCTAAAACAAGAAGGCGTGGTAAATGCATTTTGTTCCCGCCTATATTTTATGAGTCAGAGTCACGTTCAGCACAAGTAATGTAATGTTGTATTTTATCTCCATTATTATTGTTGTTATTTAGCTCAAATTATCTTTTAAAAGAATGAGTAGTGAAGGAGGAGGTAATAATGGCCAGCAAGATCGAGAAGACAGTGACCTTCTTACCATTAGACCATTGTAAGCCCCTCCCTCTTATATTAATATTATTGTTATTATTTATTACTAATATTATTATTAGGGGAGCTGGACAAGAAGTAGGACGGTCATGTATAATGCTTGAATTTAAAAACAAGAAAATAATGGTGAGATAATGATAATTATGGGTATAGATTTGTGGGTACTAACATAGTGATACAGTATAGGGGGTATATTTCCTGGGGAAATATTTCACAAAAATTACCTTTCAACCTATTCACAAAAATTTTTTTGCTTTTTTTTAGTGTGATAAAAAATTAATTTTCATGGATATGAATTTACGCAAATTTCCTAAAATCATGAAATTAAATCCCCGTGAAATATACTGGTACTATGCTACTAATGGTTGTAATTAGTTATTTTGCACTTTGCAAAACTTGTAATTAAAACATTATTATTATTATTATTATTATTATTATTATTATTATTATTATTATTATTAATTAATTAATTAATTAATAGTTGGATTGTGGTATTCATCCTGGTTTATCTGGTATGGATGCACTTCCTTACACTGACATGATTGAATCAGATGAAATTGATCTGTTACTAATTACACAGTGAGTATTGAATTGTTGCATTTTTTATTTCATAATAATAATAATTATTTTTTTATTTATAATTATGTTGCTATAGTTTTCACTTGGATCATTGTGGTGCTTTACCATGGTTTCTAGAAAAGGTAATTTTATACATGCACAAACGCTTCTTTGAGATTTAAAATCTTGATGTAAATTTTTATTGCACATAGTTGGAAATTTTGTTACAATTAACTACTAATTTATTATAGTGATCAGTTATATTCTCCTTCATTAAACATGTACATAATTATTATTCTGATTCTCAATGCACAGACCACATTCAAAGGGAGGGTATTCATGACTCCAGCCACTAAAGCTATCTACAGATGGCTATTGTCTGATTATATTAAAGTCAGTAACATATCAAGTGACCATATGCTGTACACTGAGAAAGACCTGGAGAAGAGTATGGACAAAATTGAAATTATTAACTTTCATCAGGTCAGAGAAGAGAGTGAGAGAGGGAGGGGGATGGAGAAAAGTGAGACGAATAAAGAATTTATTAGAGAAGGAAGTCGGAAAATGAGTTATTTTATTATTAAAAGAGTAGAAAACATTCTTGTTATTATTATTTTATTTTTATAGGAAGTTGATGTTAGTGGCATTAAATTCACAGCATATAATGCTGGGCATGTCTTAGGAGCAGCAATGTTCATGATAGAGATTGCTGGAGTTAAAGTACACGTTACATGACACTGTATACAATAACATGCATCTACATGTATTATTATTATTGTAGCAGTGCAGCTTATTTTAGACAAATTAATTATCTTATTACATATGTAGGCAGGTAGCCTATTATGTAGTGTTGATGTTGGTTTTTATAATGATGGTCTTTTTATGATTTTTTTATTTATTGTATTTACACTAGCCAGCCAGTCTAGGCATGCTCTGTGCTATAACCACATTTTTAGCCATTAAGTGCTATAGTCATGGCAATGGTAGCAATTTAAGAGGGATATTTGGTAGAGCTTTATACAATGGTTCAGTGAAGCAGGCCATGTTGTAAATGAACAATGATTATGCTTACTAGTTAAACAACACATCAAGCAATAATATGTACATAACAATATGCTACATTTATTGCACTGCTATTGCCAATCAATGTCAAACTAAACACATAAAAGCTATTATATCGTGATAGTTTCACTATCAGGATAGTAATTAAGGCAAATATCGTGATAGTGATTTTATCACTATCACCCAGCTCTAATTTACATGTATTTTAATCCTCAAATATTGCCAGCTGTTATTGGTACTGTTATACTTGATAGGTACTGTATACTGGTGACTTCTCTCGTGTGGAGGACAGACATTTAATGGCTGCTGAAGTTCCTAACTCCTCTCCTGACATACTGATATCAGTAAATATATAATTACATGTACATGTATGTGTATGATAACATACAATGATCAATTTCAGTGGCTGAGTCAGGGTTTCCCACAAAGCATGCTAAGTGAGCTCTGCTTTTGGAGCAACTTTAAAAATTTATAAAAAAATCCATTTTTGATTGTAACCAAGTCAAACTTTCTACACAGCATAAGAGCATGTATATGTATCAGAAAAAATTATAAAAATGGAGAACTCTCTTCTTTTTGTTTTTGGTGAAATTTGGCCAAGAACCCTGTACTATAGTACAGGGACTTTGGCCCGATTTTGGTGCAACTTTAAAAATTCATGAAAAATTCAATTGTGATTGGAATCAGTTCAAATTTGATACACAACATAAGTACATGTATATGTATCAGAAAAAATTATAAAAATGGAGAATTCTCTCTTGCATTTTTGGCGAAATTAAGCCAAAGACCCTGTACTATAGTACAGGGACTTTGACCCAAACTTTCTACACCACATAAGTACATGTATATGCATCAGAATATGTAATTAATATGTGGAATTCTCTCCTAGCAATTTTTGGTGAAATATTAAAGCTGTTTTGCCAAATGTTTGAGCAACTTTAACTATGCTTTATGTATTAGCCATTATTTTGAGAATATTGCCAGTGTATTTACCGTATAACGCTTTAATTTGGTGGAGTTTTATTTTGGCGATTGGCGGTTTGCAAGCAGGATCGCCAATATTAAAACCGCCAATCATTGATGCGCATGCTCAGTTATGCACGTGTACACAAAAATCGCCAAATTAAAAACCGCCAATTACAATTTTACAGCAAAATCGCCAAAATAAAGCACTGCCAAAATAAAGGGTTATACGGTATTTGTTTATTTATTTCAGGAGTCAACGTATGGTACACATATTCATGAGAAGAGAGAGCAAAGAGAAGCAAGATTTACTAGTGAGTGTATTGAAGAGAAGGAGGGAGAGTGGGAGAGGGAGAGAGGTAGAAGAGATAAAAGAGAAAGGGAATTACCTACAAATCAGTCGGTATAGTAATGTACATGTACTGTACAGTATATTGACAACAATCATTTTATATTCATTTCAACTCTTACTAGCTAAGATCCATGATATAGTAACAAGAGGTGGTCATTGTTTGATACCAGTGTTTGCTCTTGGACGTGCTCAGGAATTACTATTGATACTTGATGAGTATTGGTCCTGCCATCCTGAACTCCATGATATACCGATTTACTATGCATCATCACTGGCTAAGAAATGCATGGCAGGTATGCACACTCTCTCTCTCCTTCATTCCTTTACTCTTTATACCAACCTTTCTCACCTTTTATTCTTCTTTTACAATAACATACATGTACATATGCACATGCATCTATAAGCATACATTATGCATGTGCATATATGTGAATCTATTTTTTATGTACAGTACAAGCACTGTACATGTGCATGTGTTAAATTATTGATTATTATATTTATCACAGTGTATCAGACTTATATTGGAGCTATGAACGAGAGGATCAGGCGACAGATTGGGATTAGCAATCCTTTTGTATTTAAACACATATCAAGTTTAAAAGTAAATAAAATAATTATTATTACCTTTGTTTTACTTTGTTTTTTCCTCAACCAAGAGCACTCTTGACTGTATTGTGTCATTTATTACTGCACTACCACACCTTTATTTATCTTTTTTATTTCCTCTCTTCTCTCTCTCTCATATCCTGTTTTATAGAATATCGATAATTTTGATGACATTGGTCCTTGTGTCATATTAGCCAGTCCTGGTATGATGCAAAGTGGTCTCTCACGTCAGCTCTTTGAGTCATGGTGCACTGATAAGAGGAATGGGGTGGTTGTTGCTGGTTATTGTGTGGAAGGGACACTAGCTAAAGTATGTAGGATACACTCTCTGTACAGTACAATGCATGGAACAAAGAATAATGTACATGTGCATTATGACTTATTAAAAACACCAAAAATTTTGCAATGCATGTACATGTGTTATTCTTCTGACTGTTGCAAAGTTTAGTTTTTGATATGATTTAAATTGTTTGGTAAATTAATGTTTTCTTATTAAAGCACATATTGTCTGAACCTTCTGAAGTGGTGACAATGAATGGACAGAAACTTCCACTGAGAATGTCAGTTGGTAAGTAATTACATGTACATGTACACATGCACATACATGTGTACATAGTCAGGATTTCTCACGGGATTTTGACATAGGCTCATGCAGCTTCTTGTCAGTGGATCGATTGATACATATACATGTACTTATGTTGTGTAGAATCTATAAAAGATGCTAATACTTTAAAATGCACAATTAAATAAACTACAATAAACTATCATTTCTTTCATTAATTTATATTCAATAGATTATATCTCATTCTCCGCCCACACTGATTACGAACAAACGAGTGAATTTATTAGAATACTCAATCCTCCACACATTGTTAGTTTCATTATCATAAGCTCCGCCCAGTTTAATTAATGATAATTAGGTTCTAGTTCACGGTGAACAGAATGAGATGATGAGACTAAAGCAAGGACTCCTCAGAGAGTTTGAAGTACATTTACTCTGTATTTATGATAATAATAACTATTGATCTTTATACTCTTTACTACTCTTTACATCATTCAATTTTGTATTAATTTTATCTCTCATTTTTATACTTAATTTCTGCCTCCCTCTCTCTTTATTTTTTCTGTTTTTTATTTTTAGGATTTTCAAGGTAGCATATACACACCAAGAAATACTCAAGCGGTTGAGCTTTACTTTAGAGGAGAGAAAATGGCCAAAGTATTATTATGACATAATGCACACACATTATTATGACATAATGCACACACATTATTATATTATCATTATTAATTATTGTTGTTGTTGATGTTGTTGTTGTTATTATTATTGTTGTTGTTATTATTATTAATAGGTGATGGGTTCATTAGCATCAAAGCAGTGTACTGATGGCCAGCAATTGTCTGGTATATTAGTCAAGAGAGGATTTAATTATCATCTTGTTGAACCTGCTGATCTTAACAGTTAGTATAATTACATTACAGTGTATTTTATGAGAATAAAAATTAATGAATTTTGGATAAAATGATACGATTATCCTTATGTTCTTTAGATTATACTGATTTATCAACAAGTTCAGTAGTTCAAGTACGTACATGTACATGTACACATTAGTGTAACAATGATTATTAAATTAAATTATTAATATTGTCCTCCATTAGCGTCAGATGGTTCATTGTTCAATATCATCTCATCTTTTATTGCACTACATGACACAACTATCATCAGATGCTACACCTGTATTAGTGCATGGAGAACAAATGTTAAAAGTAAGAGAGAGAGAGAAAGAAAGGAAAAAATGTGGATAGAGATTGTATTTCTACAATAATATGATTAATTCTCTTTTTGTACAGGTGTTTGGTGGAGCAATAACTGTTATACATACTGGCAGTCATGTCACTATTGAAGTAAATTGTGTTTTTACATCTATTTTATTTATTATTATTCAGTGGACAGCAGATGCTACTAATGATATGTATGCTGATGCAGTGTTATCTGTTATATTACAAGTATCGTCTCAACCAAAGAGATTAGGAGGTATTGGTATCTTAATAATTATACTGACTGTACCATGCACACAGTATTGTGTAAATTGACTCTTGTTTTTATAAATTAGAATTATCTGTTAAGCAAGAGATCACAAAAGATACCAGTTTTGCTAAAAAGTATGCTACTGTACTTAGATCATCTGACATCCAGTCATGTGATGGCATTATGATAGATTAATGAAACTGATGAGTGACATGTTCGGAGAGTCCAATGTTATCTGCTCTAGCAACTCAGAGAAGATTGAAGTTATAACAGAAGATATGAGAGCATCCATTGATCCTAATACACTGGTATGGATTATCATTATAGGTCCAATATTTTGTCAGAGTGTAATTTTTTCATGTGTATTCTATAGTACCGTACAGAAGGAAATTTTGGAGGGACTAAATTTTGGCGAATTGCTAAATTTTGGTGATTGGTGAATTTTAATTTGGCGAACTTGTGGCCATGTGCCATTGAGCATACGCATAATGGCTCAAAATGGCAAATTTTTATTTTGGCAAATGGCTATCAAAACGCCAAATTCGCCAAATTTAACTACCTCCAAAATTTCCTTCCATACGGTATCCTGATCATAGTGAAGTAATAAAATTTTAGTATAATACTCTTGATAATACTCTTTTATTTATTAATAGGTTGTAGAGTCTAATGATGAGTCATTCCATCATTTGGTCCAGTCAGCTGCTAAAAGACTACACACTGCTTTACAAATATAACACACATCATGATTTTATTCATTGTAATGTGTATACATAATAATAATTCACACAAGTAATCAAAATTAAATGAGCCACTCCTTTTGGACGTCACATGATCAATTATGGTTATTTACTTATTTTTGTAAATAGACTCTCAAAAAGCACAGATAAGACTTAAAATTTTTATGAAACCAATTTAAATTTATTGATTAATATGGGTTTATAAACTTGTCTGGCAACCCTGGAGTTAATCATTGTCCTTGGCCCTCCACTGCTAGTCTACTCCTTCGTTGTAGATAATTCTTCAACATGAGCGAGTCTCAAAGTAAGCCATAATGTTAAACATGACCCAGTTTCATGGTTGTCAATCATTACAGATTACTATCGACTGAAAGAAAGATCCTTTCATGCCACTCTATCAGTAGGTGATTCATTGTATGTGTGGGGTGGTTTTCAGAAGGAGTTACCTAAATTAGTACATGATAGTGAAGAGAAGAGAAGGATCACTAGTAATATACAGCACTTTACTGCTTCAACTGGTCAATGGATCACAAGAAGTACTACTGGTACTCCTCCATTAGGAGTCAGAGCATGCTCATGCACTGCAATAAATGATCAATTGTATTTCTTTGGTGGAGCATGTGGCCATGATGACTGCTTTCATAACAGTATTACACAACTGGATACCGTTAGTCTTCAATGGAGAGAATTAGAACCAACTGATGCTAGGAGACCAGTTATGAGGAGAGGCTTCTGTGGAATGACATCATTTGAACATGATGGAGTACACCATTTACTAATGATAGGAGGAATGGGATCTAAACCAGCTGTACAACTACCACATTATAAATATATTAAGAAAGATAATGGAGAATGGGCTACTAATGAGCACTCGATGCATAATTTGTCATTAAGTAAGACATTTTTGGTATATGGGTATGATATAATATTTAAATAAATGTGTACTTTGTACTTTGTGTCCTGGGAAGCCATAAGATGAAGGCACTGCTATCAAAGTATAGCCTGGTAATTATATATATTCCACAGGAAGTGGCTAGTGGAATATATATAATATCAGTTGAACCGGATGTGGCTAGAGGAATGTATTACGAATCATTGTAAAATTTAATGAATGAAATGAAGTTGATTGTGACATAATTCTTTATTGTACAGTCTTGGAAACATTCACTTTCTACTTTTGGTGCACATTTCTTCCTAGGTAAAAGCTAGTTCACAATATGATGTTAGGCCAATGTACCGTCAATTTTTAATCAAAAGCGTAGGCCATTTGACCTTTTGACGAATGCTTTTCGCTGGAATAGAACCAGATTTCGTTCCAGCGTCAACATAACATCAGGACTAGCGTAATATTGTGTTCCAGCTTTAAGAAAGCTTCATCATTTCCATGCAACATTAAAACTTTCCTGATCTGTTGTTCATGCCAGATCCTTTTGTAAAGGACGTTGCTCTTCCTCTGGAGACTCACCATTTGTACATCTTCTACTTCGTCTTCCACAGCAAGCTCAACAACTTTTCAACCATTTTTTAATTTTCTTACTAATGACATCAATTGTTTCTATGGCTAATAAAAATGCCTTTCATTTCATGGCTTCCCTGGATACAAGCCAGTTATAGCTTGGCTTCTTGGAGAGTATCTGGTATACACTTCAAATGATATTCATATGATATTCAATTATTAGAACATTGCTATGGTTTTTAATTGAATTTTTTTATTACCGCAAATAATTGCAGCCATGAATATATTCTGACCTACGGTATATTAAATTTCATAATTCTGAGGTCCAAAAATCTACAAAATTAGCACACATGTGGATCTTGCTGCACGTCTTCATTTTACTACAGGACAACTCATTACAAAAGTTTTTTGAATAAAATCCATTGAAAACATGAATTTTTTGTCACATCAAGAATTACAGTATTAGTTAATTTTTATTTATCATCCTACAATAATTAAGTTCACATTAATTTATTTACAATGTGATTATTCATTATTATTAGAAAAATGGAGCAGGCCTTTTATCATTGGTCAGTCTATACAAGCTGCTGCTTTCTTTATTATTGAAAAGATTGGTAACACCAGAGCTGTTTTGTTTGGAGGGATGGAGACAGATGATGATAGTGAATTTGCTAATGACAATGTTTATTTATTGGAGATTTCAATTAATAGTGTGGTATGCTTACTTAATTTATAGGAGTATTGAGTGTACACACACACACACACAGTCATTCACTCACTACAATCAATAATGAATTTATGTACATAATAAAATCCTTACAGAAGGATAAATCATTATGTATAATCTCTGGAAATGGCTACACAAACCATGCTATTGATTCATTCCCAGAGAACTTGTAGCTGAACTATCATTAGTGCTATACAGTACTCCTCACATTACATGTAATCAAACTTTGTATCAGCATATAAGAACAATATTATTGATATAAGTTTACTTAAAACTTGCCAGGCCTTATTGGCAGAGCAGTGAGAGTAAAAATCTTTTAACTCTCCCATATCTGCATGATGATGCCTTTGGAACTGAGATCATAAAAAAGCTATACCTGCACAAACAACAAAGATTAACTAGTAGTATAGCTAATGCAACGAAATCAGATAAACAAAGAGCAAAAGGCAAAAGACTATCTAATAGTGACCATGCATACAACAAAGGAGAGGTCAATCAATAGGAGGCAATCATGCATTAGCCAATTATTCCACTGAGGGTATACCTAGCTAGGTTGTACCGATATATTAATAGTTAGGTTGATTTTTGTATACTAAAATCACATAGCTATAATGAGAGATGACAAAAAATTTTTTCTCACTCAACTGTCCCTTGTTGAAATCATGTATAGTAGCTATGTTGTAGGGTCAATGTGTGAATAGATATTGGTACTTACAATTAATGTGCAATAAAAAATACAAGAATTTTAATTTACTGGTTACTGAATTAGGTACAATATTTAGCAATTGTATCACATGTACTAGGAAATTATTTTTTGTGATTATTTTTTTAGTTCTGGCAGTGTGTAAAGAAACCTGAAGCAATAGACCAATGGCCTATGGGGAGAGCCATTCATGCAAATGCTATTATTATGACTGGATCAGACAGTCCTCCTATGCTAATAATAAGTGGGGGGATAAATCAAGATCAAAATGTGTTTGATGATTGTTGGATCTTTAACATCACTCAACGTTCATGGATTAGAGTACGTCATAATTATTGTTATCATGATTTCTAGTGTAAAGTTGAACTTTAGTTAACCTTACATTATTTTGAGTTTTTTTTATATTATGCATGTTGTTAAAAATTTGATACAGCATAATCAGATTGTGTATCATGGTGTGTATTTTAAAATAATTATGCATGTTTTTTGATGCAATTGCCTAATTGCCATACATTTACATTATATGTGTATACTTCAAATGTTTTCTGTTTCACGCTAAAGGAGTATTTATTACTATGCAAATCAGGTCACCAGTCACATTGGTATATTAGCAGTTTTGCAATGAGACCCAGCATGCAAACTACTGAAACCAATCCTATAATATTTATGCTGAGAAAAGAATTTCGGTATTTGTGTAGATAATCAGGAACATAAAAATTTCAAGTAATTTCCCTCACGTGTGCATTATGGTAGTGCATTATGCATCTGAATTATAGTAGTATGAAGAGCAGTATTATAGTCTTAAATGATTATTAATTTATTTCCATCAACAGTTAGATGTGCCTCACTCTGTCAGTAAGAGAGCAGCTCATACTCTTTCAGTGTTCATTATGAGTCCTCATTGCGTCTGGATAATAACTGTTGGAGGAACTGATGAACTTGCAAATGATGGGGATGACATTGAGTATCCTAATACTGTCATGTTAACTGAATTAGGTCAGTGAGGGATAAATTATTATGATGTGTCAGTTGTGTCTAATATTATGTACTCTTGGTTTAATGTATGCATGTATTGGCAAAAACATAATAATCTGAAGCTTTAAAATATTTTTGATACCCAAATCCTCCCATTATGTATAAAAGTACTTGTATACAGGTTTTTTGTTTGGCCAAGTTTTTGTTCTTTTTGTTTTTCACAAAATTACAGAAACATAGAGAGTGATGGGCACAGTCATTTCACAGAATGAAAATAAAACTTATGAAGTTGGATACGAGTTTAATACATGTTTTAATAGATTTGTAATCCCAGTTGAGTTTGGACAAGAAATGCAGACAGTTACATAAAATTTGTGGTGCAATAAAATGTCATGAATGAAGGCATAGTATTTCCTTTAATAAGAAATGCTCAATTCTATACAGTTCTGTCAGCTTGTGTGGTGTCACGTGCTTGACTCATGCCCAATTATTGATGAGTTTATTAATGATAACTCAGTTCTTAGGCTGTCAATAAAATGAGTTATTCTATCTAAGCAGCATTGAGTGAAGAAAGTTTCCTTGCATATGTATTAAGAACAGTCTTATAGTTTTTTTGGGTAAACTATAGGTACACATAATTTGTGTAAACAGGATGTTTTCATAATTGTGGGATGCATTGTGTGGTTTTTACTTGTAATAATATATTGTATGGATACAAAAGTTTGCAGTAGATTAATTTGTACTATTTTTGCTTTCAGTGCTACTTTGTTACATTTTAACACCGCAAAAATTCTTCATATGACCACACCTTAATGGCTTTAAAAGGAATGTGTAGTATTGACTATTGACACATTTACATGTAACTATTTCTATATTATTATCTATTAGTTATCAACAGTAAAGGAGAATGGACAGTAGGTGATACATTAGACTCCAGTGGTATTGGGAATGAAGCTTACAAGACCAAATATCAGCAACTTCAGTTAGGAAGAAGCAAATGGTTGGAGGAATGCCAGAAGCAAAGAAAAAGAGATGGAGCTGATATTGACCAGTCAACCATTCAATCTCTTATGGAAAACCTTCGTATCAGCAAAATAGACGGAAAAAGCATTCGTTTACTACTTGAGCTAAAGAAGGGAAAGTTACAAGAGAAGGAGCAAGAGCTACAGGAGAAGGAGAGAGAGTTGCAAGAGAAGGA